ACATTGTGCACCATGATTGTTGGCGATAAGGCAGCCAGATGGAAACAACAATATTGGACAAATCCATTCAGATTCCACAAATGAAAACCAACTCATGGAAATCAAACAATCAGATCGGCTATATGGTTGTTACAGCGCACAACATAAAGAATGACTGGACATGTACAAATTGTGCTTTTGGGTTCAAGCCGCTCCCTTCCTCTCACACTGGACCGTCAATATCCAAGCGGCTTCCTCAAACATTGTTGGCAATGGCAACAATGGGAAAGGACATTGGCAATGACCCTAATGTGGTGATATTGTAGCAGAATTGGCACTGTTATTGCTACATACAGTAACTGCAAAGAACTTACTGTTACATTTTTGTTATTTTATAATTTCACTTCTGTTAAGGTATCCACCACCAAAAATGTGTGAATAACAAACAGATAATTGATCCCTTTTTGATGGGGTTGACCTCAGAAAATGCAGAAAACAATCAATCTGTGTTCCTTTTTTCTGTAACAAGGTGCAAATTTCTCCTTGTTATCATATTGTCACTTTCAAAAAAAATAAGTCAAACGGATAATGATTGTGTTTTATCTGGTAACACTGAGAAATTATGTTACAAAAAATCTGTCTGGATGTTGTAACACATGAAACTTCCCATGATTGGAAAAGGAATGGAAGTTCACTAGAAAAGTGTACCTATGTTGCCGCTGATGATTGCTCTAGAGATGGGCGGGGATAATCCGTCGCGGATATCCGCTATCCGCTGGCGGATACCCGCCGGTGCCAGGGGATATCCGCTGGCGGGTGCGGATGCCCCCTTTTCCGTGAAATCCCGGTGGATATCCGGGTATCCCCAAGGATACCCGAGGCCGGAAAGAGGAGATGGCCGGCTGGAAGGATTTCCTTCCAGCCGGCGAGGTACACGTACCTCGCTGACTGGAAGGGCTTCCTTCCAGTTGACGAGGTACATGGAAGGAAGCCCTTCCTGCCGGCGAGGTACACGTACCTCGCCGGCTGGAAGGAAATCCTTCCGGCCGACGAGGTACATGTACCTCGTCGACCGGAAGGAGATCCTTCCGGTCAACAAGGTACATGCAACGCTGGGCCAGCTACGCTAACCGTAGCGGTTAGCACAGCGTAACGTAGCGGAATTCCACGCAACTATAGCGTAGCGTAGCGGGATTCGGCCACGACACCGCTAACGCTACGCGTGTGGGCCGCAAAAAAGGGCCCACTACGCTGCGCTACAGCGCTTTTTAGCGGTTTTTGGCCGCTTTTTCCGCTAAAAGCGCTGTAGCGCAGCGGTAGCGTAGCGAAAAACCGCTACAAAACGCTAACACTACCGGTTTTTGGATGAAAAAAAGCGCCGCTACGCTACGCTTTTTGGGGTCAAAAGCGTAGCGTAGCGAAGCGCCCCACCGCTGGAACATTGTACTTTCGTCGATTGAAAAGAAACCTCTCAGGGTCAAACGAGGTAACTGGTACCTCGTCGACGGGAAGGAAGTCTTTCAGTCAGGGAGGTAATGGTCCCTCATTGCCCGAAAGGACTCCCTTCTGGCC